AAGGAGTATTTTCATCGAGTAATCGAATGTTTTGAGTGGGTCGCTCAGTGAGGGGACCACCAATTAATTGTAACCAGGCTGGTCTTCCTAGTGTTTCTTCATAGCAAATTGATTCTTGTTCCAGCTTATTCAACAAAAGATGGAGCATCGAGTGGCAGTGACGGTATGCGCTGTTGTTACATCGTTCACGATTACTCAGGTAATCTTCAAGTACATGAAGAATTTGTCAGACCCCCAAAAACAACCAAATACTACTATACTCCTATTCCAATGCTATGGTTGAAGTTAATCAAGCCTATACATTTAATATAAACTAAAAGCCTCATTAACTGTGAATCTGTGGCTTCTCTAGCTCCACAGCTGGAAGTCAAACTTGTCCTACTGATTCTAAATTCGGTCCAGTGATTCAGAAACACCTAATCTGAGATAATCAGAGATAATATGTAATCTGATACAAGGCATGCGGTACTACTACTATAATACTTATAGACTATGATCAAACACACTCTTCGTTATTAACTAATGGGGTAATATGCAGCTTAGGCGTATGAAGCAATTAGAAGCCTTCACTTTTAGCTGACAACTGATGACTGAAAATTGTTCAAAAAGCCCATGTCTCAAGACACCCCAGGAAAAACTTATTTTCCGTTTCCAAGAACTAAAAACAGAGGTCTTCAAACTAATTGTGATCTCTCCCACTCTTCTGACCCCTTCCCAAAAATAGGGGGAGAATTCTTTAGCATTATCGGAAGCTGAGAATCGCCAGCTCTCAGATGAGCGCAAATCTGATTTTTCAGGCTCCATCAGCTGTGGTGCTGTTTTGGCGAACATTATGGGTTGACCGACAGTTCGAAGGCGAGTGGTAAGTGATTTCTTTAAAAACTCCTGTATATATTTTTACTAAGTTGTATTAGGTGAAAAAATTTCGAAGCAACGTTATTTCATCCAAAAAAAAGTTGAGCGCTGCTGATTTTTTTCGAATTCAGCCTTAGCTGAAAGAAATTCCATCGGAAAATTGACTATTACAATTTTGGTGCGGATCAACCTTTAGGGCCCTTCTAGACAGACATAAAGCTGATTGATTAACCCTAACAACTTATTACGGTACCGGAAAGTGAATGTAGCCGTGCTGACTAACCATCAATGATTTCTAAAAGAAACGAAGTACATGGTGCATTCTAGAGGGATGAATCAGTGCTACTGCGATGTCCTTTCCTTTTTAAGAATTCAACCTGCCATAAAAATAGTTCAAGTTTTGATGAAAAATTTTCAGGTACGACTTAGAAGTGGTCACCAGTTTTCTGGTCATTTTTGGTAAATGCCTGAATTTTGTCGTATTCTGCCTGAGTTCGGACAACTTCCGTCAGAAGCTACTCTTCATACTTCGAGCCAGGTGTGGAGGCATTAGTGAAGAAAAGTATGTATTCAGTCCTCAATAAGGACTTATCAATCCTTTTCAAATACCAATATATTTCAGACGATGCCATTCGGTCATAACGACATATACCCGATGTGATAGCCGAGATTCGCGGATATTATCAGCGAAAAAATCATTTCAAAGTATATAACGCCTATATATTTTGTGTACATTTATTTTTATCGTTAATTTGTTGGTGCATGTGATAAATGTATATTTGGTGACTTTTCTGTTGGCATTTCGCGTTGAAAGGGAAAAGGACGCACAGACCCTATTCTATCTTCGTGCCAAAACGAACCACGAACCAACCACACTCAAGTTTCAAAAGAAAATGACCAGTAACAAGTACTCAAGTCCTTTAGGAGTCTCCATCTTTCCACCTAATCTTGCAGGATGAGATGGAAAAAAATGAATTTAAAAAAAAAA